AGAGCGAGGACGGATCGCCAGCAGTGGTAAATGAGGAAGGTGTGGTCGTTTGCCGATACTGCTGATGGGGCGAGGGTTTTTGGGTAGATGATCCTTGCCCGGGTGTGTCTGTCGCGTTAGGGATCTTGGCGGTACTCTCAGTGCGGGTAAGAGCGCCTAAGTTGCTGTGCCACGAGCGGCGAGTGCACAGTGACTGGATGATTGGTTACGGTCGACAGGGTCGGCCGTAGCCGTGGGCCGGTGGTCGGGAGCGGGGGCGGGTGCGACCCCAACGTGGGAGTTCGTGCGGTACCGCGTGTGTGCGACCGTTGATGAGCTTGACGAGGTAGCGCGACTAGACATGGGCATGCAGTGGTGTACTTCACGGGGTGCATCACAATCAATGTGGTACATGTCAGGTATATTGAGGTCGGTATATCGGAACATGCGTGCAATTTGGAGAGAAGAAAGGGGGGCAGGCATGACTTTGAGAGTATGCCTGATGGTGCGGCGACTAGTTTATAGTGATGGTGTTGTGGACGGGGATAGGTTGAGATCCCCGAGTTCCGCTCTTCTCTCCCCCCCCTGTTCAAGCGTGGGGGAGTACGACCAATTAATGCAATTTCGAAAGCAACGAACAAAACAAAAAATAGGGTACAAACCTAAACATATTCCCCGATGAATATTCCGATCCGCCTCACACCCCTGCGATAGTGCAATATCCTTTCAACATTTCCCGCTCTTTTCCACCTAGTCTCTTTCCAAGTAGTACGCTTGGCCGCACTCAAGTTACACCAGCCCTGTTCTTCCACACTTTGGTCTCTTTCACACTTTTTCCCGTAATTAACTTCTCCCTTCTTCCCCTCGCTCCTCGACAAGCTTTTGCTTAGACATGGGTTGTAGTGAAGGGGGGGGTCTTTTCTGGCGAGCAGGGCTAGACTCACCCTCAAGGGATGACCGAAACCTTCTTGCTGCTGCGCATCCGCCGCGAGGCGTGCGTGTGGTGGTGGAGTTTGGTCGTCGGCACTGATGCGGTCAGGCGGGAAAATGTGGATGCGCGGGCCTTTCTGGCCGTCGGCGTAGGTAGTGATGCCCATCTCATTTTTTTGCGCGGAGGCAGACACCATCAGAAAGGTGGACGGGCACTACACGGCCCTAGGTCTGT